GCTGCAGCCGCGCTGCCCAGCCTGCCAGAGCAGCTCCAGCCAGGTCAGAGACATCCTCCCCTGGCCCATCCCAGATAAGGTGGGACGGGGGAGAGTGTGGGGGTCCCGGGCAAGGGGTGGGGTCATGTAGGGGGTGGTCACAGGGGTTACTCCCCTGACCCCCCACTTCTCCCCCCCCCCCCCCCCCAAATTTCCCCACCAGTTGCTGTCCCGGCCCGTCAGGGTAAGCAGCTGGTGTGCCGGGACACTTTGTTTACTTAGGTTTACCTCCATGCCTGCGGACGCTCAAGGTAAACAAACCATCTCGGCCCGCCAGCGGCTTATCCTGATGGCCCGGGAGCCAAAGTTTGCTGACCCCTGATTTATAGAGTCGGCTTATGAACGAGTTATAAAAATTTTCCATTTTTACTTATCCATCTTGTGGGGGAGTCGGCTTATAAACGAACCGGCTTATGATCAATTTCTGTAATTTTAGATGTATCATTATAGGATCTTTTTTGGAGCTGGTTTACCTACTTGGTCTCTTTCTTTGTCCCAAGAGGGAATCAACAAAGAGAGCACAAACAAAACCTTCCTCCCCTTTTCTCCCCCTCCCCCCCCCAGATTTGAAAGTGTCTTCTTTCCCCATTGGTCCTTCTGGTCTGGTGCCAACTAGGTTAATTGAACTGATTAACCCCTTACACGTAAGTGATTCTGTACCTCTGGCCAGGAGGGATTTTGTTACTGCATACATAAAGGTTGTTACCCTTCCCTTTATATTTGACATCTCTGGAGACACAAATCCACAGTTTGAGAACTGCAAAACTAAGCATCTCTGATGGTATCTTCTAGACTGAACACTTGCATAGATAGAAAGATTAACCTAAATAATCTATACAGAAGCCCCTGGAACTCCATAAAATTGGGTCCCTAATCCATGAACTATTGGAACTCATTTACAAAACTTTTCTTAATCATTACCTGAATATATTGTCTCATACTATAGAATTAGAATTTATAATCCCTATTCCATGAGGCATCTAATGTTTTGTTCAGGACAAGTTAGGTGAGAAAAGGCCTTATCCACCATATTACTGCCTGGTGTGTCTGTCTCTGCAGTGGCTTTCCCTTTTATTTTGATTTTTCTTTTCCTTGAAGGAATACCCAGACGTTTTTCTCCGCTTCTCTTTTATTTTACCTCCCTTTGCTGAACGGTGATGGCATTGGTGAGTTAGACTGGTTTCTTTCCTTCTGCAGTCTCTCCAGATCCTAAGCCCACACAGCCTAGTGACAGTCATCCCAGAGAACTTCAAGTGACTACCTTATAAAAGCCAAAATCTTCCCTCAAAGTAAAGTAAAATAAAATAAACATAGCTGGGCTTGATTCTCTGCACCCATTCTCACAGAATTAATCAACAGGGTTTACGAATCAAAATGTTACAAGAAAAAGACAAAGAAGGCAGTATAGCCATCTTCAGTATGACACCTCAGATTCTACATCACTCAAGGAAGGAGATTTGTTAGAATCTGATTCTGAAGACTCAGATTCCCTCACAGAACAGTCTGTTTCCTCATGAATATTTTAAAACCACAGTAAGGAGACACTGATCTTAGTTATACCTCCAGAATAAACCAAGCAGAAATCCAGTCTCTTTATAGGGGAAATATTTCCCCTCCAGCTCAAAAATTGAAACTTATTTCCCATCAGTGCAGTTGTTGAGGAAGTGATCAGTTCAGAATGAAAATAGCCATTGAAAGAAGTGCCTTAATAGACATCTCATGAAATATTATAAATTCCAGGATTAAAAAAACCTACCTACTGTTTGGTGCAGATACCAGGGATGTGGCTGTGACTGCTGAGGCAAAATAAATGGTCATGCCCATTGACAGATTCTTCCCCTTCCCCATTGACAAAGTGGACTGGAAAATAGAATTCTCATTGTGTAGGAATAATTAAGCCACAGATGAATCTCTTCTGTCTCGCCATCTATTTTGCTTGAATATATCTAACATGGTTTAGAGGACTGCTCCCACTGAAAGACAGAGACAGCCTTTCTTAACATGAAATCGGTCACAGCATCCTTCAAGGAAAATGCCACTGTGGATTCAATCACAATGTCCACCTGGTCAAACGCATCCAGTGCAATTACTAGGACACCCATGAATCCTGTCCGGAGAGCAGACAAGCAAGCAAAACAACTTGTGGCTTCCATTTCTTTTTGCAGCTGAAAAGGTGAGAGAGACTAGGCAAAGTGTGTGGTGGAAATTCAGAAAAGGAAATCTTTCTGCTGTAGGGTGCCATAAAAGGGATTTCAGACAGTTCCATTTGTTTTCTACTATGATCACTCCAGGATCAACAGAAGAGGTCAGACACCAAACATTGGAAGATATGGAAACAGGAATTTCATGGGAGGAAAGTCCTGGCAGGAGCGTGTGCAATCCTTAAGCGCAACAAATGCCCAGGCTCTCCACTTGGGAGAAGCAGCAGATCCCTGTCTGACTAGCAGATCTCTCTCTTTCTCTCCCTCTTTTCCCCCTCCCCCATGTGAAAGAACTCCATTGTAGACAGATGGGTTCTTATGATAGAAGAGCAAGGGTATTTCAGTCTGAAAAGTTCCCAAAAGATTGCTGCATTACAGACATTTAAAAAAAAATAAATCTTCAAAACAAACTGGGTTGTTCTTGGCAGTAGAACCACTACTTTCCATTGGGACTGTAGAACCAGTTCCCCAAAGGAGAAGTTATCCAACTTCTCTTTTACTTGCAGAAAAGGTCTGGAGTGATCAGGCCCTTATTGGACATCAAAGATCCTCAAGTACAGGGGATTCCAAATGGAGACTCTTTCACACTGAGTATTTATCAAAAGTGATTTTCTCATTCCAATTGGGTGCATGGATGTGTCTCAAGATTTGCCTTCTCTCACTCATATTATCATTAGAGGCCCTATATTTTGACCATAAGTATTTCCTAAAGGTTCTAGTCACTCATTGCCAAACTTTGCTCTGGGGAATGTGAATGTAATGCATTCCTGGATCACTTCCTCATTTGGAATATGAATGAGAACCACAGAGATCGCTTTGAGAACACTGCAGGAACAAAGATTTTTCATCAATAATTAGAAAAGCATCCTACTTTCCACTCAATTCTACAGCTGGGAGAAATTGTTTATACTTCCAAAGGCATCATGTATCTCTTAGCAAACAGTCTGACAAATTAAAGTCTGTAATCTCAAAGATACACTTTGGAAATACTTGTGGTCTCTTGTTGGTACTATGTTAACAGTATACAGTGTATTGTATATCATATTGATATGAAATTAAAGAATGTGTGTTCCTATATTTGAAGCCCTAAATGGTTTAGGTCCTCACTATTTGAGAGACCTCCTGCCTCTCTGATGTATCCACATCTGTTAGTCATGTGAGGTGCTTCCTGGGATGGGAGGGGGTTACTGGGGCTGAGGAGGCCTTCTCAGTGTGATTGTGATTAAACACCTTATGAGTTGAATACAATAGTTGTGTGTTAATTTTGTTGTACCAATAAAGTGGAAGCCAGTGGAGTAGTGCTTGGTTTTGATAAGTTATGGTACTATGTCTGTGGTGTTAAAATTGTGTAAATGTTTAAAGGGCTTGAGAGAAACAGTAATAAATTGAAACAAATGAAGCTACTTTGCTATTTGGCCATTTAATAATTGGCAGATTGTCAAAATACAAGTATTCAGTATTCATGCAGACAAACTCTGTTGCATGCACTTAACCCCAGATTTGTGCATGTAGATAAAGGATTGAGCAGATGCAAAACTGTGCATACTGAAAATCTGACCCATACTGTGTAGGATTTTGCATTACTTTGTGAGGTAGATTTTTTGTGCTGTGTGTATGTTGTGTGATGTAGACGAGGCAAATGTATCATTGTTGTTGGTGCATGTACCTATACAATTTGGAAGTAAGAAATTTTAACTAGATCTGCTCCTTCAGAATTAATTGTAGATAAATAGCAATGGAGAGCTGCATTTTCCATATAAAATCCTGGTGGTAGTTGGGGTGGAGGTATTAGGGAAGGAATCATAATTTGATAGTTTTGAAAATCTTTTTTTCAGATACTAGAAATTAGAAATAATTTGTTAGAATTTAGAAGTAAATGAATTATTAGGGGCTCTATTTTTAGGTTTAAATGAGAAATCACCTGTTTTTCTCTCATGACTTGCTGCCATGTTACCCAGGTTGTTTGATGACATGACATTCTGGGCTAATTACAAGGCCAGTGATTCACATTTTCAATGCGGGCAGTCAAGCAGTCTCTTAAATAAGACTGGGTATTGTGGATAAACAACTAACACAAGAAAGGGGCCATTCTAGTTCCTGCCACTGCAACCACCGGAGGAGATGATGGCCCTCTCAGTTTTGTTTGTAAACTTTTTTTTTTAAATTTAGTGTACAGTTTAATGAAACATACTGGATTATGTATATAAGATGCAACTGTCGATGCATATCAGTTAGATACATTTTTTTTCTTCAATAAACGTCTTGAAGAAATTACCTTAAACCAAACCTCTAAACATGTCATCCCTCTATGCTCTTCCAGGCCACATGTAAATCTAAAAATAGAACTTTCAGTCTGAAACCCACCAAATTGCTATTGTGTTATTTCATCCATTTCAAAACACAACACAACAAAACAAAATACCCCAAACCCTGAATTCAACCAAAATCAAACCCTAAAATCAGATTTTGAAAATTTAGGAATAGTATTTACTTAGTAAACAATGAGATTTTTTTCTGTATATGTCTTCTTTGCATCCAACCCAATAGATGCAAACATACCAAAGCAGTCTGGAAAAAGTTTAACTCTACATATTTGTTACCTCAGTGCATTGTTGCATTTCATTGCCAAAATAAAGAAAATGAAGATTTGAGTACCTTGAAATGTATATAACCATGTCTGTCTTTGTTTTGTACTGAATATGCTGATGGCACTCAATAAACTATAAATATTATAAACCAGTTGTCATCCTCATATTCTAGGAATTGTCAAGTTGTGGGTGGAATAAGAAAGAGAAGTACAGTTCTGCTCCAAATGCAGTTGCCTTCACAAGAAGATTCAACCATGTGAGTTCTTATTATAATAATGGCAACATGATTGTATGTATCAGTGTTAAAAATCATCCAAGTGGAATGTTTAATCTATATATTTTTGTCATTCACTGCTAAATATTTGGGGATTGACATGCCTGTGATGTAAACGGCTTGCTTAGGTGCAACAGTGTGATTACTTTAGTCCTGTTTAGTATCAGAGGGGTAGCCATGTTAGTCTGAATCTGTAAAAAGCAACAGAGGGTCCTGTGGCACCTTTAAGACTAACAGAAGTATTGG